TTTTTATTGTGCTTGTTGTCTTGTTAATGGAATAATAATTAATTTTCTTAAGAATTATGTAACCTTATGTACATTACATATAGTTCCATCTATGACTGCAAGTTCCATCTATGACTGCAAGTTCCATCTAATGTCATCTCAATTAAATTTCTTATTGTAAGATACTATGATGGATGATTTAGAAATTAATGCGACTGATAATATACCTTATATTGGTATGCAATTTGATGCGGAAGAAGATGCTTATCCGTTTTACAATAGTTATGGAGGGTCTGTGAGATTTAGCGTGAGAAAAGATTTTCAGAATAAAAGTTTGAAAGATGGCGTTGTCATTTACAGAAAATATGTTTGTTGTAAACAAGGCCAAATGGGTCGTAATAAAAGAGAGTGTCAAATGAGGAAGCCTCGAGCAGAGACAAGAACAAATTGTCAAGTTCATATGTGCATTTCTCTTAATATAGAAATTGGTAAATTTTTTGTGGTGAAGTGGGATGACAACCACAACCATCCTTTACACCTTGCTAAATGTATGCATATGATATCATCCCAACGGAAGATTACCGCAGCACAAGACATTAATATTGACATAGCAGCGGATTGTGGATTGTCACTTAAACCTTCCTATGATCTTTTAAGTACTCAGTCTGGAGGAAAGGAAAATCTTGATTTTACTCATCAAGACCAAAGAATTACCTCCGTGAAAAGAGGCAACGAGACTGAGATATGGTGAGGCGGGTAGTTTATTGAAGTATTTTCAAACGGAAGCAGTGAAAAATTCGTCATTCTATTATGGAGTGCAATTGGATGCAGAGGAGCATATTACTAATATTTTTGGGCCGACCGAGTGATGATTATTGACTATGGCAACATTGGAGATGTTGTCCCATTTGACACTACTTTTAAAACGAACAAGGAGTATCGACTCTTTGTTTGTTTTACTGGCTTCAATTATTTCAGGGAGACAGTCTTATTTGGAGCTGCATTATTGTATGATGAAACGACAATATCATTTCAGTAGTTGTTTGATACATTCCTACAAACTATGTCTGAAAAATATCCTATTACCATCTTCACCAACCAAAATCAAGCGATGGCTAAACCTATTTCTATAGTCATGCCAGAGACATATCATGAGTTATGTACTTAACATCTTTGCCAAAATACTTTTGAAATATTTGAGGAACATATATAAGGATGGTTCACAATTTTTGGCTCGATTTATAGAGTGTGTGTATGGATATGAGGAAGAGCATGAATTATTTGAGGCTTGTGAATCGTTGCCTGTGGAGTATAATTTGCATGATAATATGTGGATGAAAGTCACTTGAGCATTGCGAGAAAAATTGGGGCACGTGTATTTGAAGAGGACTTTCACTATAGGAATGAGAAGCACCCAATTGAGTGAGAGCTTGAATGCAGCCTTACGAAAGTACTTAAAGCCAGATCATGACATTGTTCAGTTCTTTGTACATTTTGAAAGAGTTGTGAATGATAAGGTATATAAGGAGTCAGACTTAGAATATCAAACTAGACAAAAATTACCTAGATTGAAGTTAAAAAGAGCTCCAATGTTAGTGCAAGCAGGGCAAGTGTACACTCCTACTATGTTTGACCTGCTTCAAGTGGAGTATGATATCTTTCAGTGCACTATTGCGACTCCATGCGATGTGTTAGATGGGTGACATCAATTTGTGGTTCGATTATATGATGAACATAGAGAGTATTTGATCGTGGTTAAGGCTAATGAGGAAATAGTCAATTGCAGTTCTCGGAAGTTTAAAAATGAGGGAATATTATGTGGTCATGCACTTAAAGCCTTGGACATGATGAATATTAAGCAAATTCCCGAGCAATACATATGTAAAAGATGGAGACGAGATGCAAAAAAGAGTTATAGGACAACCTCATTTTAATGTCAAATGAAGAGAATCCTAAGTTAATGATGACGTCACGTTACAGATAACTTTGTCCTAAAATGGTACAACTAGCTGCTCGATGCTCTGGTCTTCAACCTGCATATCAATTGGTGTCACGTGATGTTGAGGAATTGTTCAAACAAGTGAATAGTATGTATGCATCAATTGGCGATGGTGGCGATGATTCAATCCATAAAAATGTTGACCCAATCCATGAAAATGTTGACCCAAATATTCTCCAAGTCAAAGGTTTAAAAAGAAAAGAAGGTGGTTACAAGAGTTAGGATTGACTAAAATCTTGGCATAAGATAGCAAAAAAGAGAAAAAAATGAGATTCCCAACCATTACATATGTCTATGCTATCGTATAAATATAATTGTAGATTTTTTTTAATTCACTTTATATTTTTATTCACATAATTGTAAGTATTTTTGTATTTCAGGTACAAGGTTTAAGTCAGTCGTGTACATCAACATATGGTCATTCGATGTCTTCTAAATCTTCAAATAGTGTACAAAGTGTTATGGTATGTTACCTTATTGTTAATTTTATTATTTCATATATTTATGAAGTTTCTTTGTCTAACCTCTTATCATTAATGTAAGGTACTCCGAATGATTCAACACATGTGCATTCTTTAAATGATATTGAATCAGTTTTCATGAATGGGGGATACAACTTGTAAGGATGCAAATGAAGACTCTCAATATCTCATTTTGTTGAAAACTATTTATTTTTAATGAGATTAATTGTAGTTGTAAGGATGCTTCTTGTGTTTTTAATGAATCTGATCTTTTTTTAATAAATGTGATCTTTTTTAATGAATGTGATTTTTTTAATGAATGTGATCTTCTTTAATGAATGTGATCTTTTTAATAAATGTGATACTTTTAATGAATGTGATCTTCTTTAATGAATGTGATATTTTTAATGAATGTGATATTTTTTCATGAATATGATCTTCCAAATCACAACAATATATAAAATCCACAATTTCATTCAAATTAAATGCACAAGTTCATTTACAACACAATTTCATCACTACATCATTGCTCTTACAGATCTACTTCACTAGAATCACAAATATAATAATCACCACTAGTAACGTGACTACAAACATATTTGACTTCAATGTCATTACATTGTGTTCAATTCGTTGTACATTGTCTTCAATTCGTCGTACATCCATCTTTTTATTTCTAAATTCCGAAGAGGGGAGAGTAATAGGCGTCATCTACTTAAAAAAGTGACTGGAATCGTCTGGATATTTGCAATATAGTTTCCCAGGATTTTTTTCAAATTCGAAAACTTTGATAATCGCTCTTTTGCTACAAATGGGGCAATACATATTGTGATATCTTAAATCTTCATTACTTGTTGCAGTACTTGAAGATGTCATTCTTGAACCAAGTAGAATTGCTTGAACCAGCTATCAGGTAATGGATGAAAGTTGTTGGACATACACAGAATATTGCAAATCAATTGCGGTATTTCAACAAATACAACAGCAAATCAACTTCTGGCATTTTGATTTTTGGAACATAAAGCATATAAATAGATCATGATGTGAATGAGTGCAGAAACATGAAGCATATAAACATTCAAAGAGTGCAGAAAATCTGATGCAAAGAGTGCAAAAAATCTGATGCAAATAGTGCAGAATATCTTATGCAAATAGTGCAGAAAATAATTCAAAGAGTGCAGAAAATTTGATGCAAACAGTGCAGAAAATCTGATGCAAGGAGTGCAGAAAATCTGATGTAATGTTCCATACCATCCCAGTTTTTAAAATTCAGCAACACAAACAAACATGACCACTACATACACCATGATCCTATCCAGGATTAAGTGTTAAATTCAACAGTAAAGATATATTTGATACCAAAGATAAAAGCACCAAGATGGTTCAAACAATGTAGTAGGCTAAAGATATATAGTTTAATAGTTTGAATCCTGTACTAAATCTGACATTATATAAAATCTTGAATATGTGCTTTAATTTTAATCTGTTGTTCGATTTGTGGAATGATTTCAGCAACTTATTCAAATTAATTGAGCATTCCAAATGTGTGCACTTAGTTATAATACATGTCTCTAAAGTTATTTGTAAACCAAACTCATTCATCCTCTAATAGTACTAGAACTAGAGGTAGCATTAATTGATAGAGAACATGAACGAGATAATGCAAATGCTGGACTACCCAAGCTGACCACAAAAGTGTAGCAAAATTTTTGAAGGCATTTTCAAGCATCTCTGCTATATTAGCAAACTAATCAGGGACAGTTAAACACACGAACTGAACTACAATCAATATATATATATATCTAAACTATACATACACGTGTATAGACACACACACACACACACGAACTGAACAATCGAGGAACCCATGAAGAATACATGATGTTGGTGTAGGTGGTGTTGGAGTTGCTGATGTTGGTGTTGGGGTTGCAGAGCAGAATCTTCGTTTAGGATTTTGGTTCATTTTGGGGGTTTTTTTGAACGAAGCTGGTTTGGTGTACCGAAAATGGCGTCGTTTTGGTCTAGGATTTTTCAAAAAAAAAAATATCGTGAACGACGCCATTCCACTTAACCGCATATCATACAGTTGATCCCTTGTCGCAGACAAGCCAGACCCCCAAATCTTCCCACCATCTAAATTTATAAAATTTGGCGTATTTTTCCTTTTTAACTCTTACACTCCCTTTCAACTTTTTCAATGTAAGATACCTTACATTAGTAACTATCTTACATTACTAACTATTTCTAACATTATTTAACTATTTCTAACATTATTTCTCAATAGTTTGCAGATTAAATAACATTACATACATAGACAAATAAGAGAGGAAAATTTGAAACATGGGCAAGATGATTGAATCTTCATTGCTTACGGTGTCTCAAAGTCATAGAAAACTTTTTTGAAGAGATGCATGTGATGAGCCTCCAAGGACATAGTCACTGACAAACTCCCATCCTTGATTGGACTCGGTAATATATAAGCCATTCCCTCGAATATGACACTGGCGGGCCCCATATATATAGGCCTCCCCTTCCCAAAATCTGCATCATATATAGGTAGCCTAATCTAACTGACTGTTGAGGTTTGGGGAATTGAAAGTGTGGGCCCCTCGAATGAGAGCCGTTGGATCAGGCTGCAACTCGAGGTAGTCTAGAGCTGACCTCAGAAAATCATCACACATTCGTGATAGAGCATTGTGATTCCTGTCTACGGTGCTCCTAAATGGTTGCGATTGAATCTCCCCTGATGGAGCAGTTGATGTGGTTGTGAAGAGAACATTGCCAAAATAGCCAGGAGGTAGTGGAGGGATTAATCTGGACCGTCCATCGGTAGCGATATAGAGCTTGGTATCTTGATCATCAGGAAGTCCACGGACCATGCATGCAGAGCGCCACAGGTGAGCAGCCATTGCCTCATAGGTGCTGTACCTTTTTTGGTCTTTCTCTCCCTTCAACTTGGTTTTCAGAATGGCAAGCTGGTCAGCTGTTATTCTCAAGATGGCTGTGGAAGTTGTTTTTGGAGGTGGTCTAAGGGTTGAGGAGGGAGGAGAGTAGTTTTCAGTGTGATCAAATGCAGGGATGGGTGGGTCTCGACCACGGAGTAGAGTCCTATCCAAGAAGGTGGGATCCTCAGATGTATGCCACGTGCCATGTCGCACCATGCATTGATGAAATGGAGAGCTGAGATTCCATCTGCAAGAGTATGGTGTAACCCCACACCAAGAGACACTCCCCCACACTTGACATAGGTCACCTGTGCCGCCATAAACATATTGATTAATTATTACAGCAAGAAAGATTTGAAAATTAATGTTTTCAACACTATCATGTTCAGTTGCAGTCATTTTGCTTGAAAAATACAAAATGATGACAACATTGAATTGGTGCTTTTATTTAATATTCCATACAAGCCTTAATTATGTCATTCTAATGTACCATATAATTGAGGTAAAAAACATGTTTCACAACTGAATGGTCCGAAATCCCTGTCATTTTCTCATAGTATTACTATTTTTTTTTACATAGAGAGACTTTGCATGGTAATGTTACTCTTTTATGCTCGAGTTTGAGTCACAAAAACAATTGGGTGAGTCTATTCTCACCCGACAAATATTCATTCACAAAAGTCCACCTCTTCTTTATCAACTACATTTTAACTAAGCACACTCCATACTATTTACACCCTTTAATAACAAGTCCATCTTCTATCTTCTCAAAATTTGGGGTTCATTCATTATTTTTTTCCATATATCGTACACGACAGAACTTTTTCAATACAGATTGATAAGAAAAATACATGTTAATATTATTTTTCGATTTAATTTTTTGTTTGATTTCATGTGTGTTATGTGATTTCATGTTTGATTTTGTTAAACTTAATTATTTTTGATTTAAGGTTTATATATATACATACATACACATTTGCAACAAGAATGAAAAAAAAATAAACATTGCAAATTCTTGTATTTTTTTTTTTGAACTATATTTTTTTATTGATTATTTATAATTATAAGTATAAATTATTCTCCTTGATATGCTCAACAAATTTCTTTGAGAAATTAATATTGTTGCCCACACTATAGCAACACAAGTTACTGATCCTCATGTTAATCCAACAGGGGTTGTTATGACATAAGCTATCAATCCATATTGAAAAATTTATTTTGTGTAGGGTGTATGAGAGAAGATAGTGAATGAAACCCTAATTATGAGAAGATAGAAGGTGAATTTGTTATTAAAAGGATGTGTATAGTACGTGGTGAACATAGTTGAAATGGATTGAATATAGAAAGGGTAGACTTAGTAATTTAATAATAAAAATTTTAATACGGTAAGAATGGAGTTTTATGGGATGAGAATAGCCTCACCCAAAATAATTTCTTCATATGTAGCGCTGAAGACATAATACCTTCCAAGACTCGGCAATGATAGGAGTTTCGTAAAATGACCAAATTTCTATTCCATTTAATTTTGGACACCATTTTGAGGCAAAACTCACTATTGGCTCATCCTTCGGACATTTTTCTGATTGAAAACTCACAATTTAACTGGCCTATCTAAGTTAGTCCAAGAGAGATTTGAAAGATTGTTCGAGGAAAAGTTTATGTAGTTCGATTGGAGATATTCATGATTAGTATTACAGTAAAGTTAAGTTTTTAAATCTTCTGAAAGGAAAATCGGCCCACCTGTAACACTGTTGACGTAGTGTAACAGCTGCACCTAATATTTTTTTTCTAAAATAGACCTTAAGGAAATACAAAGAAACAAAAACTTGGACAAAGTCTGGCTTGCAAGTAGAGTATGCTATCTAGTTCATATTTTGCAAAGATTATAAAGCTGTGTGTACCTGTAGCACCAGCAGTGGATAAGTGGAACAGTCAGCAGAATAATCCACAGCCGGAATCAGCTGCCGGAGCTCTGGCGACCAAACAACACACCTTCCCCATTACAGTACAGCTCAAATCTACCTTTCTCATCTGTCTGCAGCATCCCAGCAACAGGATAAAAGGGCACGGGCACAAGGGCATTGCTAAGTGCCTCTTTGAGGAGATGTGCTTCAAAGAAGTTTTGGGTTCCATTTGGCTTGTAAAAATACACGGTGGGTGTGTGAATTCTTGGAACAAGAAGGTCCAAGTCAGAGACCCTGAGGGTGTGTACATTGCAGGCTGCACCATGGTTGATGATTTCACATTGATCTTCATGTTGTCACTTCCTGCAATAATCAAACACTTCGTCACTTGATATGTATGAGTGAACATTGCTTAAGCTGTACATTCAGAAGGCATCTATATATAGGAGGCCATTGGGGGATAATTTTTCACGACGTTTACTGTATCCAAAAGTTATTTCTCACTATCTTATCAAAAGTTACTATAAAATAAATGTGAGTATATGGTTGAACCTGGCAAGATTGCATGAAAATAGAAGCGACCCTACCATGTAGAATTAATTATAATATTTTTGGATTGAACAAAAATTTTTTAAGTCATAACCGACTTCAATGAATTGTAACCTACCTTTTTAATGTCTTATAGGAAGAGATAATATGCTACAAAGAAACATTGAAAAGCTAAACACAAAGGGAATGAGAAAGTGAAGCATACACTGTGAAGTTACAGAGGATAGTTCTGACTGGTACGCCTTTGAAGTTTGAGCTCAACACAAGAGAGAGAGAGAGAGGGAGATTCCGCAAGAAGAATGGTGAGCTCGATCATATTTATAGAGATCAAAGTTGTTAGAGCATCTTCACCAACGCCATGTAAAATAGTTATTCAAAATATATTTAAATATTGTATTATCTACTTTAACTAACCACTTTTACAAATTCACTCCAACAACGTTATCTATTTTAACTAACTACTTCAACTAACTTTCAATAATAAAATCTAAAATACTATATAGTATACCACATCATCACCATATTGATGACATCACATGCTTACGTACAACGCCACATCATCAAAATTTTAAAATTTTTATTTTTATTAATAACGGCCTTGCCTTTTTTTATGACGGTTACGAAATTCAAAATTTTAAAATTTGAGTATCATACCCAACGGAACAAAACAATTTAAACCAAAGTCCAATTAAACAATGAGATCTCTCAAACAAAACCAACCTAATTCAGATCTCTCAACAAAAGCCAATTCAAATCTGTCAAACAAAACCCAATTCTGATGTGAAATCAGTCAAGCAGCCCAAACTGATGCACAAATCAAATTCACAGACCCTGTATATTTAAAGACAAACGAGAATCTCAATTTCCCCATTTTTATAGCTAATCAGACCAATGACATCAAAACAACCGATAATTCTAACATTGATAACAGTAACACCACCACATCATATGATAAAACTAAATACTAAAATGCAAATTCGATTTGGTGAAAATTCGATAAAACTAGCACCACCACATCACTGCCCATAGCAGTAGTTTTGGTGAAAATTCGATTTTGAGTGCTCAGAACTAAGGGGTGTGGATGGTGAACGAGTGAGAAAGAGTTATGGGTTGGATGTATAGAGAGAGAAGAAAAACGAAGAAGAGGACAGACGCATTGTCATCGATTAATACCTGAAGCAGATATGAAGGCTTGTGGCTTGTGCCTTCGACTCTGAAGCAGCTCTGAGAGAAAGAGTTTTGTTCGATTGATTTGAAGCAGCTTTGTTCGATTTCAAAAGAAACTCATTATCATCGATCGATGGTCTGAGTGAAAGAGGATGAAGGCTTCGGATTTGATCGATTGATTAGGGATTAGGTTTTGTGGCTTGTGGCTTCACTGTCTGAGAGAAAGAGGAGGCGGCAAAGGGATTTTAGGGTGCTTGTGGCTTCACTGTCTGTGAAGGCTTCGAGTACATCAATCGATGGAGAGGCGAGGGAGGCAGAAAGAGACGAGATTCTGGCGCCAGCGAGGGAGAAGTGGGCTACCTAGATGTATCGACTGAAAAATGGGCAATGGGAAACGGATAGCCAAATGGCCAGGCTGCTGGAACACATTTTAAGGGAAAACTATCTAAAATAGCCTAGTGGGAGGGGTTGGAGATGCTCTTAACGCGGTAAAACATTTGCAACAAAGTAAAACAGCAGGGTCCATTGCACAAGAGTAATGCTATAGGGAACTGCGGGGTGACACTGAATTGGTACTCTTGTTATTTCTGATGCTGCCGCGTTTAACTTCATACTATTGTAGTTTGTACAGTGTTCATGTCGCCCATTTGAATTGTGCTATATTTGAATTATATCATTTTAATCCACATAAAAATCAGAAAACTACTATTAGTGAGTCGTGTAGAGCTAACCTAAAATTTGTTTAATTTATATCAGACTTAAGTTAAACACAAACTCGCAAATTCTATATCGATTACGGATTGAGTTTTTTAATAATTGGTGTTAGTACAGAGAAATGGACAGTTTTGGTAGAATGGAAAGTGCACCTAACTTACCAGTGGTATATATCAATTCTAAATCACATGCAAACCTTTCATACAATCGCAGCAACGTACTAAATACGTACCTCTTTAAAATGTTTATAAGAGGAATGGACGTGTGAAAGGAATGGTTTCTCGCTCAACAATTATTGATTGGTGGTAACTTTTGACATAATTTTTTTTTTTTGCAAAAAGTACTCTTCCATACTCGACAAAATTTCAAATTAATATAAGATTCAAAGAGATCAAATCACAATTTAATGACATCAAAGTTCCTATTTCACAAAGTCCAAAATTTTAAGATCAACCCTAATTATATCTCGTTGAATAATAATTTCTCGCATAGCTTGTTCACGGTGTAGATCTCACTTGTATATTGTATTTAGCCAAAGAGCATCGAACATATTGAAATACTCTTACCTTCTTGAGACTCTATGAACCAAGATCTGCTTTTATTATATGGGCAATATCAATCTACGTTAGTAGATCATATGAATGTAGAAAAAGTTAAATAGAAAAGGCCTACTAGGTACTAGCAGGTAAAATATTTGTAGGACTTTCAACATAATCTAATGTGATTGAAACTATCGTCATTTTAAAAAGTTATCGTGCAAAATCTCCTCAATGAATATTGTCATATTTCATATACATTAATGATGTAAGTATACTTACGTGAATAGTTTATTTATAATAATTTTTTTTTGGGGAGAGAAGGGGAAATTTGAATCCTTGATTTCAAAAAAGCAAAATTTTCACAATTCAATGAGTACGGCATACTATTAAACCAAAGGCTTATTGATAGTTTGTTTATAATAATAATAAAAAAAAGCCTTATTTATCCGAAGAAATGATAAAAAAAAAATCTATTTAGGGAAATTTTCCTATTTTGATAAAAAAAATTTCCCACTTCAACCAGCACATAAAGTATGTATGTTTATAGAAATATGAATGATATCACCAAAATCTATTAATTTTGTCAACTAATCAAGAGTTATTTGCTAAACCTTAAAGGGCATCAGTGCAAATTATTCTTTGTACAAATGTATTCTCATTATTTATATAAAGGGTAGATCTAAGTGAAAGTACGATCATTAATATAGGAATCCAGATCTTCCATGTTACATCACGGGAAGAATTTTAATCGTTTCCAGCTTTAGGTGTTTGGATCGAGTTTCTATATTCACAAGAAAACTAAAATCACAAGAGGTCATTTTAAACAGAATAATCTCAAAATATGACCTTTCGTAGACAGAACCGACCCAACAATATAAGAATTGAAGCAAGGGCTTTAGGCCTCCCCACGAAGGAAGGCCCTCAAATTTCATAAGTCTTAAGGTATGATTTAAATAAAAAATTCTGACCATAAAAATAAGTCCTAAAAGGACCTAAACAACTAAGAAATGCTAAATAGAGTTGGGCCTAAGAGTTTAACTCATTAACCACACAACAATATTTGAAATTAAAACAACTATGTTTAACTGAAAAAAAAATTTACAAGTTCCATTCAAATTAAGCATATCACTGTCTTTTAAAATGTACAATTAAAATTAATTTCTCTATCTCATTTTAAATCAACCAAACTTATATTTCATGAATAACTAACAATTTGTAGAGAAAAAATTAATAAAAATATCGATGACGAGATAACACAATACACTGAGTAACCTTTAGTTAAAATTTTTTTTTATTTTTTATTAATTTTAAAAATATAATATGAAAAATTTTCAAATGTTTCACCACTATCGATTGACTAGATTAGTTTTTAGACTTAAATATTTTTACAAAAGTTTTATAAATAAAAGAAAACATTCTACTTAAATATTGAATTGTATAAAAATAATAGATTCTTTTTTGAATGTATTTTTTTACAGAATATTATTGACATGCTATATCATTTTTTTTTTACATATAAAAGTTTTTCACAATTAAAACTAATAAAATTCTCTATAAGATTAACTATATATAAGAAAGGTTAAGCGAATTAATTATTCAGTCAATCAAAATATGTTAGCCAAACTTAAAAAAAAATGTAATAACAAATTTTCATTTCAAAAAGTCAAAAAAAAATATTTAACTTATTTTTAAAAATAAAAGACTTTTTTAATATTGGTTGCTTAGCCTCCATATTATCAAGTCACCCCTATTCGTAGATATGGAAGGCTACTAACGTAACTAAGCTTGAAGACATGGCATATGTCACTTCAACATGTTGAAGAAAGTCATTGTCACACCTAAGGAATGGAATGTAGTCTTAAAACCTAACATTCCCTCAATAAAATCCTAACAAGCGTTTTGGGGCCATGTGATGATGGCGTGAGGACCACCCTATCTATGATTATAAATACAAGAGGCGTGCCCTCATACAAAAAACCAATTGTAATCCTATCTT